TTKRMYTWWTTTTTTTTTTCTCTTTTTCATTTTTTGTTTGCCATTTTTTCATTCTCAGTTTCGTTTTTCGTTTTTCATTTATTAGAACAAACTCTGGAACATATTCTCATATTGCAATAAATCTAAATTAATTGGAATCTCCTTTGTTTAACTCTTTTTACTAGTCTTACCGCTCATTATCGAGGCCAATTTGAGGATAATAATCGGTTGAGAATATCCACTATTAGAACCAGAGCTAAAGTTTCCGAAGCATAACTTTCATCCGATTTAATTTTTCATGATTGTGTTACCTTTTCACTGTATTTTACTACATTCTTTGTGTATATACTCTAAAAATACTCTAAACAGCGAAGGAAAGGGATTTTTTACGATTTTTTTTACAGAAACATCTTGTTTGGCATACGCGTGAAGAATCTTGGGTAATAAGAACAAGATATTTTTTCATAATTTAGGTCTGAGTAGAAATTGAATGCCAGAAATATCTTGAAAATGGTGAGAACTCTTTCAACACGAWAGTTTGAAACCAATCAAGTAAAATTCAATTTCGGTCACAAGTTGCCGAGAATGGGGAATTGACGATGGAAACTGTCACCCTCCGACATATGCATGCGGTTGAGCCTCGATTTTCTGTCAACAACTTTGAAAATATACAAAAGTYTTCAGGCTCATAAAACAATTTGTATCGCAAACTCTAACTGTGAGACTAGATAATTAAATAGATTTTATAGTTTCTCCATATTTTTGTAGTCAACGAGAAATCGAAGCGATTGGTTCATCGAACTGTTGCAACTATTCAAAMCTCAGTCACATCGTCCGCAGGTACTCACRTTATGAGTCAAGGCCAAAATCTTTGTCAACAARCTTGTCAATTGAATAMTCACCATAAATRYGCAGAAAATAAAGACTCCTTAAAAGGGAAAGTGGGAAACTGCCAGTACTTAGAATTTCTTAGCTGTATAATCAATATAATCATATAAACAGCGCGCTAGTCTCTAGTCTTCTGCCATGATCGATGTGGATTTGGCTCTTGCTTCTCTCCGAATATATCTTACTTTGTAAACTTCAGTGCAAAAAGAACATATTCAATAATCAAAACCGAGATCTATATAATTTCGAGCAAATTTTACTCCACTTTCAGAGGACCATATGTGAGATTTCAAATCTTGTAGTTGACTATTTATTGATAAGGAACTAGTTGACTATTTATTGATAAGGAACATTGAAAGAGTGAAAAAAGACTTCGAATACGTCTAAAAGCTTTTAAACAAGATTAGTAAAAGCCGGATGAGTATACTATGTACATTTTAAAAGTTGTCCTTTTGTTTGCTGTTAATAATTCTGACCCAATAAATGAAAAAGCTATGCGAACTAAGCCAGTTGAACGAGGCGGGGAAAAGTTTGTCAAAAGTTGAATGCATCGGCCGGGCAATTGCGCAAGATAAAAACATTTTTTTTTTTTTGTCTGTTTTAAAACTTTAAAGCTATCACTACATACCACTAGTCATTTAACAATTCAATAAGAAAGAATTAGTGCTTTTGAGTTTACCTTGACAACACAAGACGACAAGACCAACAAACAGAGTGGCACTGTTCGGCAACATTTTGAGGTCGAGTCCTACTCCAAGTGAATRAGTTATGGGCCGCGTTGATGTTTTATATATGCCTTGGTTCGCACCCTGATTGGTGATCAATCTTTTAACTAATCAAATGGCATCGCGTTATGGGTCGATGTGCAATGACGCCTTATGATATTGACATTTAAACAAGCGGAGAAAAGACTAGAGCCAACAAAAGTAAATAAACTTCAGACGCGGGAAACAAATTCTTAGTTAGTTGAGGAAATTTATCTACTTCTTTTACCATAAAAATGAAAATGCTAAACAGTTCAGCCAATTAAATAGACTTTAACTAACAAATTGATAAATCTGGGGGCTTGGAAKTGAAAAAACGCGAACAATAAAAAACATTTTTTTTTAATTTGTAGAGCTTTAWATCAGCATCAGTTACAGTAAGTGGCTTTCAGGCGTCATTTTGCTCTTTTGAATATTGCTTTAGTTCGTAATAAACGATTTGAGAACCGGACAGGAAACAAATTACATAAACAACTCATAATTAGTAGGAGAAAAAGTTCAATTTAATTGCAATTGTTCGGCTTCCGAGGAGCTTACGCGTATCAGCRAAGGATGACACAGAATGCCAGCAGTTATTCCAAAATGAATACTTGAAAATCATTAGGAAATGTCAATATTTGATCGTTCTTCAGAATGGCCAAAAAAACTTTAATAAAACCGATGTTTGATCTGAGGGGGATCAGTTACCATGACTACAGAGGAATCCCGGACCATCTGCCGTTCAGTTTCTTGCGCACTTAAAGTACAATCCGGTGAAGGCAATTACCCGTTAATGGTTTAAAAATAAAGGCCAACAAATAGTATGTGTTACTCAGCGAATAAGTAAATTGCATGAAGCTATCTTCAATGAAAAGCACTGATATGATGCAACATTTTATGTTCCATTTTGGCTTTCGTTTCTTCACTCCTCTAATTTAGMCAAAACCGGATAGTTGTCCAATCAATCAGAAATGAGGATTGTAAGAGGTGTCTTTTTCAAATGGTTTTTGTGAGCAGTTGTCAAGCGTTAGAAATGAACGCTCAATGAGAAACTAATTTTGTATTTATTAGTGTTTCGAAAATAGTAGGGCTCGAGATCGTSTAAACCGCCACACATAAAGGACAAAAAAAAAATCCCCAAAATCAATCAAGGTTCAAAGTGAATCATAAACGATAAGGGGAAGAGGTYCAACATTTCAAAGTATATGTTTCGACCTACTGTATGTCACAACTCGACCAGACATAAACTGACAAGGCATTTTATTTGTTTGTTCAAAAAAAGTAATCTTCCGTATCTTGACGTTGGCATCTGAAAAGGAGTGTGCCTTTGAATAAAATACATAAGAGGAATTTTAATTCTATAGTTCTATMAAAATAGAACTGACTTGTTGTATAAAGAATTAAGCAAACTCCCCCGACTTTTCTCAAAGTTCCTTTATTTACGTAGGATTGCTGCAGCAACGMGCGCTTGGTACTCAGAAAATTGAATAGTAACAATGTTGCGCGGAAGCGGAAGTCTTTTGGTTCTCTTGCGCCAGTTACAGTTTTGCTTCCAATCTCGTACCCAGGGCCTCCATATTCTTTAGTTCTCATCCTTGACCGAAAGAGAACGCAGGCTCTGGGTCACCGAGATTTTTCCAAGGAGTCCTAGTTGCGCACGTGCAAAACGCACTACCGCGATTGCGAATTGGAGCCGAAAAAAACTGCYCCCGGTGCATTTAAGTAATACAACGTTTTTTTGAGAAAATAAACATTACAAATGAGAAAACAYTCCATGCTATGACCTCGTCAGTTCAGATTGCGAATAAAACGGCAGAACTCGGATTGAATGCTGACTGACGAATTAAAGAAAAACAATACACACTGACAGGTCCTGGCCTTGTCAGTTGTTGTCAATTGAAGCGAAATATCCTCAAATCTCCTAAATTCAAAATGATTTACGTTTATAAATTTTCTTTTCTTTTTAAGAAACGATATCTTGTGCAAGCAAGAAATATTTTATATAGAGCAATTATGTTTGGTGCTTTTTGTTCTTTAGAATTTAACAGCGGTATAGCATGCAGACCCGCAGAGGTTATCTCGACGTAAATCTAGCCAGTGCAAGCTTTCGTTAGAGGACTCGGTGCAAAATAAATCTGGACCTTGCACACTTGGCACGCAATGGCGGATTTATAGCGCCAAAATATAATTTCAAGATATTCGGAAGATATTTCACCTCTCATTTGACATATTAGATGCATTTTTAGTTTGAAACACCTTGAAAAC